ATGCGACCAGACGACTAGTATATGGCGAATACAGAAGGGTTCGCGAAGAGTATCGATAGAGCTCATTCTGTGAGGGGCACGATGCATGAATAGAAAAATCGGAAAAATTAACATTTTTGATGAGGGATCTTAGGAAGCGATACCACCCGCAAAATAAGGAAATGTGAGCGGATACGGAAACCTTATGGCGGCATCATAAATTCCCAGTTTCCCTTTCTCTGTGTCATAAAGATATTTGTCGGGGAAGGTTACTGTCAGCCTGCCCCAATTGTCGACGTCTGGCTAATGACCAAGACGGGTCCGTCAACCTGATCCAACCGATACGGGCGTATGAAAGTTCGTTTGAAAGTGAGGATGCCTCTTCTGTGCTCAGACGTAGGTTAACACACCCCAACTTAAAAAGTTATAGATTTCGTAAATAAGTTGCAACTCTTTCGATGTGATCCCATATTTAACGGATGGAAATGTTCTTCGTTTCTTATGATGGCTGGTGTTGACTCTGATTTCCTTTACCACAGTTTGAAGACGCGAACCGCCCGTTTTGCGATATCTGCTCTAAAGATTCGTTTAATTGAACCCGGATATGTTTCAGCCGGACGATAACTTTCGCACGAATAATCGGAAGTGTACATTGTGCAATATTGTGGCAAACGATCGTCATGGCTATAGTCTGGTATTTATGCTTTGACATCTAAGTAATGCGCATACCGAAAGCGCTACAAACACCAAATCAACTCCCGACTAGCAGGAGAAGACCGAAAGGATCAGAAAGAAGGCTTGACTGCGCTCAAGGCCCCCGTATTGTCCTTTCTTGGGGATGTAAACCATAATGAACCGAGAGCCTGCACTGACGATGTTAAGTCATGCCTGAGGAAGAAAACATCTGTGGAATTAGCTGCTCTAATAGGGCGTGTGGGAACAATTTCGAATGCTGCCCACTTAGAATGTGTTGCGTTGCCCGTAGTGCCTTGTGTTTTACTGGTCGCCTGATGGCGTGTTCGAGTGGGACATGGACGGCTGTGATTTTTTGGATGCACCTACATTCAAACTAAAATCAGTCGTGTTATCGGAGGTCAGCGCGCCTGAAATTTGACGATGTTGCTTTGCAGAAGGAGCACTTGTGGTGTAATTATGTGACCCAGGGACGCTCGCGTGCCAAAACAAATAAAGTAACCGATGCAACAACAACCTCCGGCTAATACTCCCGGGGAGTGGAGTAGGGTCACTACAACGCTACCCGCTAGGGATGACTTTCCACAGTGTTTCTCTATAAGGGTGAAGCTGTTGGGGACATTGTGCGCTGGTTTTATAGTAGAGACGTGTTTTTTGTCATAACTCACCCACCGAAATCACAAGGCCGTATAAACCACCTCTTAATCAGAGTTCAAACCCGCCAATAGGTTACGGCGTTTCAGACGTTCGGCTGGGAGAATCCGACTGAAAAGGAACTCATCGAGAAACTTTCAGGTGTTCACCATGTCGAACAAATGCAATGTCGCTTCAATTCTGTCCAACACAATTTTACTAGACCATTAAATTTGCTGAGCAGTATCCTACCGACAGCCAGCTGTATCTACTATTCGGAATACTGCATCCTGTTTCTGTCCTGTTTGGGTGGAGAGCTCTTTTTCGGTGATGAGAACATTCGATTCAGGTAAACCACTAACAACCGCGCAATCCTGTTGTAACTCCCTGCGTTTTCCTTTCTAGCACCTTGACCTACAGTAATTGATATGTAATTCGGAATGAATGATGCGGATTTGGCTCGAATTTCCAGGCCTAGGCTGTAACTGAAAAGAAAGCGGGCAAAGCTCCTGTGCGCAAACTTAATCAGAGCGAACGTTTTCAACTACATCTGCAGTAAATAATGGAGGATATAGTTTAGAATGCAACGATGAAGTTCCTGGAGCAGGGCAATTTACTCTCACACCTGCAGCACGGCTTCAGACAGAACCGCTCGTGCCTTTCCAGTTTATTGCTCTCGACGGAGCAATGGACTTGCGCACTGGACGAGGATGGTGGTGTCGATGTCATCTACACAGACTTCAAGAAAGCGTTCGACAGCGTCCCACACAAACGCCTAATCTACTAACTTCCTGAAATTGGGATAAGAGGAAGGCTGCTGGCATGGATAAGAGATTTTCTTATCAGGAGATCACAAACTGTGTGTATTGAGGCCTCAAGGTCAACTCATACCCCCTCCTAAGTGGTGTACCCTAGGGCTCCGTCTTAGGGCCGTTGCTATTCCTGGTTTACATTAACGACTGCGTCGATGCAGTGCCGTCATGTTTTCTGACGATGGTAAGCTGTGGAGACCCATAAGATCTTACGTGGACAGATACACGCTTCAAGACATTGTAAACCACGTGAGCAGTTGATCCTCTCGTTGGCTCCTCAATTCTAATGTCGACAAAGGTGTGGTCCGGAGACTCCGCACCAAAAAGACCAGTAAGGAGCACGATTCCTTTCAATACGTCCTTGGTGATCAGCCCCTTTCAAATGTTGGGCAACAGAAGGACCTGTGCGTCCTCATGACCTCTTCGCTGAAACCATTATCACAGTGTCAGTGGGCAGCAAAAAGTGCGATAAGGGTGGTATTTGCGCTGAGGCGAGGATTTGTGCAGATCGATAAAGTACTGTTCGGAAGAACCCACAACGCACTCGTTCGGTTCCACTTACAGGCTGTAGTCCAGGCCTGGCGACCGTGGTTGAAGAAAGATTATCAAGGACTGGAAAGAGTACAGGCGATGGCTACGAAGATGGTCAAGAATCTTCATAATCTGCCTTACGAAACCAGGCTGACCGAACTAAATCTGTTTCCCCTAAATTACAGGCAACTGCGCGGCGATCTCATTCAAAATTACAGGATTGTTAAATACCGTGAGTGTGCCCTAGACTTTGATGAATTCTTCAAATTGGCCGGGACTGACGTCTGCGTGGTCATCCTTTCGAATTGCAGAGGCATCTGGCTATGCGGATGTCCGATGGAACGCATTCGCGCGGAGGGTCCTTGAAGCACGGAAGGGACACCTTTGTGCGGTGGTACTTTTCGAAGCTGTCGAATCTTTTAAGTGTAGACTAGATGCTCATTTGTTGAGAAGCTACTGTACATATAATCACGATTGTTTTAGCGCCGGCTGTTTGCGCCTTGCTTAAATCTACCGCTAACTTTTGAATTTCCGGACTTACTGATGTCGATATGAATACGGATCTGAAGTGCGAAATCACGATCCTTAATATACCAACCTTGCGAGTGAATCGACTCCGTAGTCCGCGAGACTTCGTTGAAAAACGAATTTTGCGTAAAGTCCGAATTCTGATAAATTTATGTACAAGAAAAACTTAGCAGGGACGCAGAAAGTTGCTGCCAATAAATTTCGTTTACACTCAAATCCCCTTATCCGATGTTGTGCATTGCTCGTGCTTGTCTGACAGGTAATGTAACAGACCCTGCCATGTCGAAGGTCAGCACCAGTCGACGATAAATTACGATACCGAAAGTTTCGTAAGGCAACCGGACAACCGGCTGACTAACTGAAGCCTAAGTGTCTGTACAACTATGCTCTGTTAGGTGCAACAAAATATTGTTCGACAAAGGTCTAGGTTGTCTGGGGCAGAAACTGGAGGAT